GGGATGATTTGTTTTCTTATTGTTGAACTTTAAGATTCTTTGTAGGCCGGGCGCGGTGGCTCAAGCCTGTAATCCCAGCACTTTGGGAGGCCGAGACGGGCGGATCACGAGGTCAGGAGATCGAGACCATCCTGGCTAACACGGCGAAACCCCGTCTCTACTAAAAAATACAAAAAACTAGCCGGGCGAGGTGGTGGGCGCCTGTAGTCCCAGCTACTCAGGAGGCTGAGGCAGGAGAATGGCATAAACCCGGGAGGCGGAGCTTGCAGTGAGCTGAGATCCAGCCACTGCACTCCAGCCTGGGCGACAGAGCCAGACTCCGTCTCAAAAAAAAAAAAAAAAAAAGATTCTTTGTAGGCCGGGCGCAGTGGCTCACGCCTGTAATCCCAGCACTTTGGGAGGCCGAAGCGGTTGGATCACGAGGTCAGGAGATCGAGACCATCCTGGCTAACACGGTGAAACCCTGTCTCAACTAAAAAAAAATAAAAAATTAAAAAATTAAAATTAAAAAAAAAATTAGCCAGGCATGGTGGCAGATGCCTGTAGTCCCAGCTACTTGGGAGGCTGAGGCAGAGAACTGCTTGAACCAGGGCGGAAGAGGTTGCAGTGAGCCGAGATCGCACCACTGCACTCTAGCCTAGGCGACAGAGCGAGACTCTGTCTCAAAAAAAATAAATAAATAAAAAGGAGTTGGGCATAATGTTTACTGTAACTTCAAGACAGAGGCTTTAAATTCCTCTAGTGTCTTTGGTTTTGTCTCCTTGGTTGTCTTCGGGTTTCCCTAAGAGCTTCTTAAATACTGTGTCTAATAGCTCTCTCAGCTACAATCCACTACTGTTACACTGGAGCCCCGTTGATGTGGTAGCAAGGTTTAGGAAAGGGGGAAGCATGTTGCTAATTTTGTGATTAAATCTTGGTCTTTTAGTGCGTCCGTATCCCTGGTGTCTTCACAGGTGTCTTAGCTTTGTCCCACCTCCTTAGGTGAGACAGGAAGGCTAGAGGCGGCTGGAGCTGGGTGGCTCTTGTAAGGCCTCGGTGAGACAGGCTCTTTTCTCTTGGAGAGTAGGCTTTTGTTACGGAGATCGCTCTTGGTGTTTTTATTTTATTTTATTTATTTATTTAGAGACGGAGGTTCGCTCTTGCCCAGGGTGGAGTGCAATGGCGCGATTTCAGCTCACTGCAGCCTCCTACCTCTAGGGTTCTAGCGATTCTCCTGCCTCAGCATCCCAAGTAGCTGGGATTACAGGCTCCCGCCACCACGCTCGGCTGATTTTTTTTTTTTTTTTTTTTTCTATTTTTAGTAGAGATGGGGTTTTGCCATGTTGGCCAGGCTGGTCTCAAACTCCTGGCCTCTGCCTCAGCCTCCCACAGTGCTGGGATTGCAGATGTGAGCCACCGTGCCTGGCCCACTCTGGGTGTCTTTAAATGGTTAGTTTTCCCTTCCCCTGTCAGAGATAGGAGGGGATTTTTCTTGGGTCTTCACCAGGAATCCACATGCTGACTTTGTCAACATGACCGCTTAAATATTCCTAACCAGTGTGTGGCTCCAGCAGCTGCTTCTCTAGCTAAGGATCCACCTGCCTCTCCAGATTGTGGAAGACGGTTGGCCCTGCAACCTCATTTCTCTGATGGGTCTAAGATAAGGAGTTGCTTTTCAGTCCGTTGCACTTTATTTCTTGTTGAAAGGATGGGAATGATGACTTACAAGCTGTTTACATGTTGATGCTGGAATCGAAAGTTGTTTTTCTTTTTGTTTTGTAAAAAACGTTCTCAAGGCATGAGGGCTGAGATGGCAAAAAGGCCATGTGTACATCCATTTGGCCTTTTGGGAAACAGTCTGCAGTGGAGTCGACCCTCCGTGAAGGGAAGGCCTGATGGCGTCTGGTTGATCCCACTAGGGAGGGCTCCTACTGGCTCTGGGGGCTTAGCAGGCCTGCATCCCCAACCCCGCTCCCTTGCCTCATTCTGGCTTCACCATCTCTTCCTTGGACTGGGCTCTCTCTTTCCTCAGACTGCACCCTGCAGTCCACCCTGGGTCCCCCAAAGGATCTATGTTATCCCCTAAAGGATCTATGTTATAGAACACAGGTAAGTGTTCAAAAGTTCTCCCCTGGCCAGGCTCACACCTGTGATTCCAGCACTCTGCGAGGCTGAGGTGGGCAGATTGCGAACATAGTGAAACCATCTCTCTACTAAAAAATACAAAGAATTACCTAGGCCTGGTCCCGCATGCCTGCAATCCCAGCTACTCGGGAAGCTAAGGCAGGAGAATCTCGAACCCGGGAGGCAGAGGCTGTGGTGAGCCAAGATCGCACCACTGCACTCGAGCCTGGGCAACAGAGTAAGAGAGGCCCTGTCTCAAAAAGAACAACAAAAAAAGTTCTCTAGTGCTTGAAACTCCTCAAAACCCCTGCACCCCTAGAATAAAGTACAAGTCGCTTAGTGTGGCATTCACAGATCCTCATGTGTGATCCTCATGGCTCACCCCAGCCTTCCCTCTGCTGCCCACCTCCCTACTTCTGCACAGTATCGGGGGTGCCAGGAACACCTCAAGCTCCTCCCAGGTCACTGACACACATGCTTGCTCCGGGCTCTCTGCCTTTGCACATGATGGTCCCTTCCCTTTCCTGCTGACAAATTCTCCACCAGCAAGACCTTGCCTCCTCGGGGAAGACTTCCCCGAGCACTCTGTGCAGCCCTCATTTACAGCGCCGCACTCTGGGTCAGTGCTCCTCAGCACCAAGCAGCAGAATCCCTGTCTTCCTCGAGGCAGCGGAGCCTGAGGCACATCCTCTGCACCCCCACCGTGGCCCTGTTTTCCTCCCAGCCCTCCCCATCTGCCCTTTCCAGCAGGGGAGAGGAGGGAGGCCTGCGGGGAAGGAACACCTGCTCACGGGCACCTGCTACACAGGGCGGGGGGAAGAAATCTGGCTCTGAAAGTGGATTCCAGGCGTTCCCAATCCCAGCCCCCCACCCCTTACAGCTCTGGGACCTTGGGCAAACTACTTGCCTGTCTGTGCACTGCCTTCCTGATCTACAGAACCGGTGAATTAGGACCCAGCTCTTAGGCAGGGAGGCCTAAGTGAAACGCAGTGTGAAGAATTTTCTATGTGGTGAATGTTCAACAAGTGATGGTTATTATTATAATTTTTTTTTTTTTTTGAGACGGAGTCTCGCTTTGTCGCCCAGGCTGGAGTGCAGTGGCACCATCTTGGCTCACTGCAAGCTCCGCCTCCTGGGTTCATGTCATTCTCCTGCCTCAGCCTCCTAGTAGCTGGGACTACAGGTGTGCACCACCACGCCCGGCTAATTTTTTGTATTTTTAGTAGAGACGGGGTTTCACCATGTTAGCCAGGATGGTCTCGATCTCCTGACCTCGTGATCCGCCTGCCTCGGCCTCCCAAAGTGCTGGGATTACAGGCGTGAGCCACCGCACCTGGCGTGATGGTTATTATTATTGCAAACACCACCTCACTGGCCAAGCACTGTGCCCGGTGCTCCTACATCCTGGCTAGGTTTCGGCCACGCCCTGCCCAGCAAGGCAGGGATGTCAAGTCCATTCCACGAAGGAGGTAAGTGGGGCACTGAGGCTGCAGGGGACTGCCGCTTCTCCTCGCCACCCGCGGCTCAGGCCTCTCCCACTCTCCTGGAGAGTGGGGGGGGCCCAGGATGCAGAGTGAGGGAGCTGCAGATCTGGAATGCGCCAGGCCCAGCCTGGAGTGCCTAGCACGGCCTTGAAGATGGAGGTGGAGGTGGCGATCAAGGGAAGTAACAGGCTGCAGGGATAGAGATGCACCTAAGCCCAGGTGTCAGCTGATCTCACAAGGCGAAGTGACCTTCGCTTTTCTTCTGCTCATTGCACTCCCCCAGTGCAGGTGGAAAGGAAGGAACTCCATTTTCTGAGGTCTTCCTATGTGACAGGAGAGTGCAGAGCAGGGAGCTTTGATATTACACTCATTCCCAGCAACTCCAAGAGCTGGTGTTACTGCCCGGAGTCCATGTCAGTCCAAGATGAGGCAGCTGGGATTGTCCAGGGAACTGGCACAGTCCCCTCTCCACCACCCTTGCACTGGAGTCGAGGCCCATCTGCCCAACGCAATAGTGGGTATGGTTGAATCAATGGGCAAAGTCAATTTAGGATCACAAAGACCCTGGGCTAAACACCTGAACCTGAAGCTTTACCCCAGCCATCTCTACTTAAATCCCTTGGCTTATACACAGGTCACACAGTGCACAACCCACACAACTGCACATAGCAGCCCTGATCATTCTCACTGATCATCCTCAGAGGAGAAGTCTTTGAACCAGAGCTGTGGATTCTACCTTCCTGAGCTCTGGGACCACAATCCCTTCCTTCTCCAGGACTCCAGGTGTCCTGGTGTTAAAACAAATCCACATTACTGGGGCCTGATGGTCTCCTCTGCCTTCTGCCTTGCATCTTTGGCAGCTAAATGCCTTGGAGTGGCCTACATGCAGGGTCCTTTGCCTCCCACTCTCATGAGCTCTGGGCTTCCCTCCGAGTGATTCCCCCAAGAGCACTCCCCAGTTCCGTGTCTTCTCACTGCTCCTGGGCATTCGGTGACCACTATAATCTCTGTGCTGAGGGACCACCACAGGGATCCTCCCACTTCTCCCCTTCTCCCTCCTCCTGGCTCAAGCCATGACCCAAGGCATCGGCTGAGTGCCCTGCCTACTTCAGTCCAGTCCTGTGGGTGAATCTCCTCAGCTGCTCTCCCTCCTCCGTGTCTCAGGGAGGCCGGAGGAAGCTCACCCAGAGAGAGCCTGAAGGTGGTCAGACTGCTCAGAGGGGCCTCCAGGGGGCTGCCCAGAAGCCTTGGTGGGGTGGAGGTGGTACAGGAATCCTCATGCCTTTGGCTTCTCCTCCCCACTGGACTTGTCATCCCAGCCCCACCCCAATTCCTCACCAGCCTGTAACTCACCCCTCTCCCTGCCCCTCAGCCAAAAGTGACATGTGAGAGAGAGGTCCATGACACATTTTGTCTGGCCTGCCATACTTTTTGAAAGTTTCATTTAGGTGCTATCATTTAAAAACCAGAAGGTTTCACTTAAGAATCCAGCATTCCAGTTTCTTTTGAAAAATCAGAAGATCTGGCAACACTAGGCCCACATTCCAGCACGGCGACCACCAGCTAGACGGTGCTGGCTGTTCCCTCTGTGGGGCTTGTGCTCTGGTTTCCGGAGTTCTAACCCTCCCAGGCCCAGCTGCCACCTACGCCAGCTGCGTGGCCCCTGCGCTGTGTCTTTGCACAAGGCAGCCCAGCAGGAAGGAACAAAATCAGGACTGATGAGAAGTTGTCCTGTTCAGCCCTCCCCACTGCCCACAGGCCTTGGCACGTGAAGGAGGCCAGAGTAGGGAGAGCAGGAAGGCAGGGGGGATCCTGGTCAGGACACACCCCAGCCTCCCTCTGATCACTGTGCACGGCTAGCAGCGTCCCAGGCACCCCATGTGTCCTGGCCCAGCTCAAGCCTGCCTTGGCGGCCAGCTGGCTGCAACTGAGGAGCTTGCTGTCTTGGTCGTGGCCACCCCACATCCTGTCGGAGCTGGGCCTGGGACCTGAGGCCTTGTCCTGAGCCTTAGCAACGTGGCCTGTAGGTACAGGCTTCCTCATTGTCCATCCAACTCAGCTGAATGTGCACCAGGGCGTGGCGGTCTTGTCACAGTCTAACATGATGTTGAGGACAGTACAGGGGGCCCCGCCCACGGACAGGGCAGTGCGGGAATCCACATGGTACTTCACAGTGTTCAGGCCTCCCTCCCTGTCCACCTTGAACTGCTCCTGGGAAGGAAGGGAGGAAAGAGCACGGACTCAGGGCTGCATGAGTACCAGCTACCCACCGACCCCACAAAACCTCACCATCAGAGGCCCTGTGGTCCCCACTGGAGAGGAAGAACCCAGAGCTCAAAGCAGTGAAGCCTCTTGCCCAGGGCTGTGCCCCACTAGGAAGCAGGAGAGCTGGGATCTCCTGTTGGATGCATATGCCTCCTAGAGAAGGGGCTGTTTGAGGGCAGGATCCTTGCATCCCGGGTATGGCTCCCCAACCCCACTCTGCCAGCCTGCATGGACCCTGAGGTCTGGGCTGACCCACAGTGCCCAGGGTGCCCACAGCAGCCACCAGAGCAGGGCACAGTGCCCAAGCAGAATGCCTGTCAACTGACCTGGGCCAAGCAGGGAAGGATGGGGCCGTTTGGGCCAAGGAGAACTTGGTGAAAGCTCAGGCCTGCTGGCTCCCCACATCACCACCTATCCGTCCCCGATGAGGAGCCCTGCCAGCACCTGTTTTTGAGCCGCGATGCGCTTCTGGTCCCTCTTCCGCCAGGCTGGGTCATGCAGGTGGTGAAACGTCTTGTACCCCGTTGTGATTCCCGAGGGGCGGAAAAGCTAGGGAGGTCCGAGGAAGTCAGGGTCAGGCTGCCCTTCCTGGAGCCCCAGCCCTCACCACCAGCTCCTCTGAGGTCCCACAGGCAGGGGCCTGCACTCCCAGCCTGCAGGAGAGGAGACTGGGGCCCACAGGGCAAGGAACTGGCTAGATGACCACGCAGGGCAGGGTTAGGGCAGGGATCAGAACCAGGGCCATCTCGAGACCCCGGGAGCTTCATCTGAGGAAACAGAAGAGAATCTCTGGGCAGCCACCACAGCTGAGGTGGTGGCAGGGCCCCGGGGAACCTCACCTGCAGCCCAGCTCCTTTAATGCGCCGGTAGAACTCATCGTCCTCGCGGCCCCAGCCCCAGAAGCGGTTGGACATCCCGTTGCACTGACACAGAGACAAGCAGCGTCACTCGGCCCATCCTCCCGGGGGGCCTTTGGTCTCCTACTGCTTGGGAGTGCCCCTCTCCCCGGGCGGTTCTGAATAAGCACCAGGTGCTTACAGGCTCCTCCACCTCTGCAGTGCTGGGGGCGGCAGGAAGCAGTACATCCCAGTCCCTCTCCCGTTCTCATGGGGCCTTGAACCTGTGTGAGATGCTCACCTTCTCAAAAATGTCTGGGCCGGGCGCGGTGGCTCAAGCCTGTAATCCCAGCACTTTGAGAGGCCGAGACGGGCGGATCACGAGGTCAGGAGATCGAGACCATCCTGGCTAACACGGTGAAACCCCGTCTCTACTTAAAAATACAAAAAACTAGCCGGGCGAGGTGGCGGGCGCCTGTAGTCCCAGCTACTCGGGAGGCTGAGGCAGGAGAATGGCGTGAACCCGGGAGGCGGAGCTTGCAGTGAGCTGAGATCCGGCCATTGCACTCCAGCCTGGGCGGCAGAGCGAGACTCCGTCTCAAAAAAAAAAAAAAAAAAAAAAAAGTCTGGCTGGCCAGAGGGGATCTCCCTAGGGAACTATCGATGGGCAGAAGCACCAGCTCCTCCTTGATTTCTGCTTCCCCCATTTCCCTTTCCCCTGGTGGCCCTGCCCTCATCTCTTCCTGTGTGTGTGGGAGGGGTAGCCGGGTTCCATGACACACACCCATTCTTGTACCTGGCTCAGCGGCTTCATTTACATAAAGCTGGCTCCTGCCATGGCCTGGAGAGGAAGAGACCCAGGCCTGAGCCACCTGGTTCTTCCGGCCTGCCCGTCCACCAGCCAGTGACTGGCTCAGGGGTGGGCTCAGCACTCAAGCTGGCCAATCAAGAGCCAGTGCAGCTCACTGCCGGACTCCTGCCTGAGCTATGAGGGAAGGGCCCCATTTCCCACCAGGCTGGGGCCCAGATGGATACAGACTGCAGTGACAACCACCATCTTGCCAATAAACCCAGTGTAGGGAAGGCAGAGCTGAGAGATGGACAGAGAAATAGGGTCCTGGTGACACTGTCTGAGAGGTGGGCAAGCTGCACCTGAACTGCCCCCTACACTCGTCAATGTTAAGGGCCACTAACTCCCCAGGTTTCTGAAGCCAGCTTGCAAGTGGTTCTGCCGCTGCAGCTGACTGGCTCGCCTGCTCCTCGCACTCTGGCTGCTCGTAGGTTCCCCTGCTAGGCCTGGGCAGGGCTCCATCTGCTGGGCCCCAGAGGCACTATCCCATCCTGCCCACCGCCTGCAGCCCAGAGGGAGCTCCCGACTCTGAGCAGAGCGGACTGTTGGGGCCTCACCAGCTGGTAGTGCTGCTTGGAGAGCAGCAGGATGCCGCCGACATAAGTCTTGTAGTGGTAGAGAGGGTGGAGCTCTGGGGAGGCCACGTGGAAGGGCCCAGCCTCAGGAAAGCCATAGTCCAGCTCCTCGTTGAGAGGGAGCAGGTCAACGTCATGCATGGCAATGTAGTCCGTGCTGTTGCTGCTCTCCAGGAAGCCCACGTTGATAAGCGCCGCCCGGTTGAACCTGTACAGGGCGGCCAAGGCTGGGCAGGGGCAGCACACGGGCTCACTGCCTGGGGCTCAGCACCCACCTGGGGGTCCCGTGGTGCCTATGCTGCCCTCTGGCCCAGCACTGACTTCATTCAGCCTATGGAGCTGTCCCCTCCACTCACTGCACAAATATTTACTAGGCACCTACCATGTGCCAGAAACCATTCAAAGCACCGGAGGTACAGCAGTGAGAAACCAGGCCCTGCTCTCAAGGAACTGAGATTCCAATAGAAGGAAACAGAAACAAACAAGCAAACACAAAGCGAGGCTAGGAGTGGTTAGTGCTGGGGGAAAAGCAAAGCAGGCGAGGAGGGTGATCTTGCTGGGGTGGAGGTGGCTCTTGTCCTCGATGGGGCCGTCAGGGAGGGCCAGGGGAATTGAGTGACAGAAACCTGAAGGCCTGAAGAGATGACCCACCGGGCAGTGGGTGCCTAGCGCTCTGCATGGGGGAGACAGCACTGCCACAGCAGGAGGCAGGAGCAGACAGCAGGCAGCTGGGCAGGGCGAGGGCGGAGGAGGGGATGTTGGTGGTGACACAGTGACTGCACGAGGCCCAAGGGCCACTGAAGGACGGGGCTTTGCTCGGGTGAGATGGGGTGCCATGGAGGCTCTAAGCAGGAGTGGGGTGTGCTGTGACTTATGTCTGGATAGGACCGCCCTAGCTGTTGTGCTGGAAGAGACTGTTGGAGCAGGGGTGAAAGCAGGGAGACCAGCTGGGAGGCTATGGCAATAATTTAGGTGAGACCCCGAAAGATGAAGGTGGCCTAGCTCAGGAGGTGGCAGTGGCAACAGTGAGAAGCGGCAGATTCTAGATGGATTTTGCTGACGAATAGGATGTGGTGTACGACAGAGAAGGAGCAGCTAAGGATGACCACAGGGCTTTTGGGCTTGAGCAATGGGAGCAAAGAGCCTCCATTCCCGTGGGGAAGAGGGCAGAGCTACAGGTCTGGGGCAGGGCAGGCCACCAGCAATTCAGCTGTGATCATGAAAGCTTGCATCTGAGGCCACCACGTGGAGGGACTGTGTAGATGGCTGGGCTGGTGAGCCTGGAGTTCAGGAGAGAGGTCTGGGCTGGAAAGAGCCTCAGGAATCATCAGAATAGAGATGGGGTTTAATGCTGGGAGATGACATGAGATGCCCCAAGGAACACCTGGAGTTAGAAAAGGGGGGCTGCTGAAGCACTGAGCCCAGAGAAGCCCCGATAGTGAGAGCTTGGGGAGACAAGCAGAATCCACAGACACAGAGGCCCAGCCGGTGCAGAGGGAGGACCAGAGGGTGCTGCCCCAAGCAGGGGCATTTTATGAAAGAAGATGCTGCTGGCAGGTCCACAGGATGAGGGCCCAGCACGGCCTCTGGACCAACAGAGTGGAGATGGCTGGTGACCTCAGTGAGAGCTGCTCTGTGCTACGGTGGGTGCAGGAGTCTGAGCGGAAGGAGTTCAAGAGAGACAAGGAGAAAGAATGGGAAGGAGGTCTGCCAGAAAGCAGAGAAGGGTGACAGCCTCGAGGGATGTGGGATCCAGGGAGTCTTTTTCCTTTGAGAGAGGAGCCACTTCAGTGTGTGTGCTCACGTGTACGCTCCAGGAGAGGAACGCTGATCGAGAGGGAGAGGAAGGGGCCAGCTGTGGAGTGGGGGAAACACTGAGGGGTGGGGATGGTGGAGAGTCAGCTCAGACAGAAGCTGGGACAGCCCTGAGTCCCTGTGCACAGAGGCTGGGAGGTGAGTTGTGGAGGGAACTGGGGAAAGTTCTCTTCCATTTCAATCTGTGTGGCCGCTTCCTGTGTTGTCTTTTCTCTCCACACCCTCCAGTGCCCAGGCATAGGTATGGGGCAGACAGCTGGAGTAAGTCAGGCTGGGATTATCCCAGGAGCAACGGGCCAGAGGCTTGAGGGAGTATGCCAGGCCAGGGAGGATTTTAATGGCAGACCTTGGACTCCAGGTTGGGTAAGGAGGAAGTAAGGACAAGGAGGGTGGCAGGGAAAAGGTGGGGGGATCTGAGGATCCGGATCAAGGGGACTTGAAAAGGTGGAAGATCAGGCTGGTGGGCTAAGAATCCATCTTCCAGTGGGAGTTACCTAGAGAGAAAGGAGGTGGGGGCTGGAGGGTGAGATGCCAAGCTGTGGTCAAGGAAGGGAGCACTTTTTGGTAAGGGCAGGGATTTTAGGATAACGCCAGACTCTGGGCAACTTTAAAGCCGTGGCCTTGACCCTCCCTTTCCCTAATCCCCGGGCCAATCCCCAGGGAGTCCTGTCTGGACTTCCTCCACAGCACCTCTCTCTATCCACCCCCCACCACGCCGTCAAGCCACTGTCACTGCAGACCACAGCAGTGACCACCTAACTGGTCTCCCTGCTTCTCCTCTTGCCCTGGTATAATCCATTCCACATACAGCAGCCACAGTGAGCTTTTCAAAATGGAAATTAGATCAGGGCCCTCTCCAAAGATTCCCGTCACACCCAATGAGAGGGGTCTGCCACCTCCCGCCCTCCCGCCCCTGCCCCAGGTGACCTCTCATAGGCCCTGAGAAGCCTGAGCCTGGGAGGGGGTGTCGAGAGGGGAGAGGGCGGGGGCAGGCGCTACCTGAAGTGGTCCACCTGGTTGAGTACATAGATGTGGTGCTGGATCTTCTTCCTGCTCAGGAAGCGGTGCATGTGGGGCACAAAGACCAGGAGCTCCTCGAAGCGTTCGCGGAAGGGCACCAGCACTGCCAAGCGGTGGGGACCCCAGGATGCGTCTTCTTCCCACTGCTCAGGGGGTGGCTCTGGGGGGCAGGCCCGAGGAGGGCCCGAGGTCTCCTGCCCTTGTCCCCTGGCTGCCCGGCCCACATCACCAGAGCAGCTGAGCTGCAGCCAGAGCAGGGAGAAGCAGCCCAGTAAGAGACAGGCCACGAAGAGGTGGAAGACTGAGCATTTCCGAGGGAGGCTGCCGGAGAGCAACCTGGACCTGAGACAAGAGCAGGGACAGGGTCAGAAGGGCAGGGCAGGGCTGGCCCTCTGACAGACCCTTTCTCTGGCCTCCCCACGAGGAGGCTGCACATAACTGGTCTACCCCAAGCACCTGGGAATTAGTACGAAAGCAACTTTAATGTTTTTGCTCGTGCCACCACCATGCATCAGAATTCTGCTTACCTCTCTAGATCCAACCCATGCCACCCGCTCCTGGGAAGCCCTCTGAACCACTCCCAGGTCCCAGAGCTGCCCCAGCTCCCCAGTGCTCTCTTACTTCCTGTGACTAAGTCCTGGTCAGAGGTGCTCAGGACAGGGATGAGGAGGCTCCTGTCACTTGTATGTGCTCCTCCCCACGACAGTGGCTCAACGTCCTGAGCCAATGACAGGAGTCCCCACCTTAGAGATGCAACCCACTGCTTTCCAAACCCACTCCCCTACAGATCCACCCCAGCAGAAACCATGGCTCCATCCTGCTTCCCAGAATGACCAAAGGCCACCCAGACACGGGTGTGTGCTGGCATTAGTCCAGGTAAAATGACCGATGTTTACTCTGGGAAGATCACACCTGCCCCCGAAGCAATGCAAGGCCCAAACTGCCAGTGGCAGTTCACTGAATGAGCCTCAAACCTTTAGTCCAAGAGGCAGCTCATGTAAAAGACGGAGACAGAGAGGGAAAGAAAGATGAGGACTGGGTACAGCACAGGCACTGATTTCAGAAACTGGAAAAACCGCAGCTGAACATCATAGACACTGGGGTGATGCCAGGAGACAGTCTTTTGGTTAGCAAATACCAAGAAACAGAATTCACCGGATTCATTTGCCCCTCCTCTGGAAATTCCTGAGTATGCTGAGAGAGGGGCTGAGGAATCCAGGAAGGGGGAAGCTTCCTCGTACTCCCCCTACCTTCTCCCCAAAATAATCTGCAAAGGAATCCACTTCACAGTCTTAATTTAAGAGTCAGCGATTAACTATCAGGTCTTATAAATTCTATCTCAAGGCCGGGCGCAGTGGCTCATGCCTGTAATCCCAGCACTTTGGGAGCTCAAGACCAGCCTGGCAAATATGGTAACACCCTGTCTCTACTAAAAATACAAAAATTAGCTGGGTCTGGTGGTGGGCACCTGTAGTCCCAGTTACTTGGGAGGCTGAGGCAGAAGAATCGCTTGAACCCAGGAGGTGGAGGTTGCAGTGAGCTGAGATCACGCCACTGCACTCCAGCCTGGGCAACAGAGTGAGACTCCGTCTCATAAATAAACAAACAAATAAATAAACAAATTCTATCTCCTAAGTCCCCCTCCAATCCTTCCTCACTCATCTGTTCCTTGCCCTGCTCAGACCCCTCTAATCTTCTGAATGACCCTCCTCTGTTTGCCAGACAAAGGCCAAGCCCTTTGGCCCGACAGTCAAAGCCCTCCGTGACCTGGCCCCAACTCCAGGAGCTCCCAAGCCTTCGTCCCATGTTCTCATGCTAGGCGCCTCGGAGCTTCTCCACTTGCTATTTTCCTTCCTGCTCCAGCCCTCACACAGCCCGCTCCTTCTGCCTGAAATGTCCTTTATCTGCCTGAGGCCCCCTATTGATCCTTCAGAGCCAAACTCCAATGTCATGGCCAGCACTGCCCCCTGGCCCCATAACACTCCCCCTTTTGTATTCCCACGGCATCTTACTTCCTACTTTTTTGTAACGCCTTGTGTCCTTGCTTCTCAGGCCATGTCAGATTCATATCTGTGGCACAGCAAGCACAGGCCAGATAGCAGAGAGCTTGCCAAGTGAGTTACAGAAAGGGTTAAAGCAGTCAGGGCATGCCTTAAGTCACACGCTAAAGCCAGACTAACTCCTCCCTTTTTCTAGAGAAACAACTGCCAACCTGGAAGCCAGTAGCCTTGAAGCCAGGCCCAGGTTCCACATGCAGCTAAGAGGTGGCCTGGTAGGATACCCCCCAGGGCTTCTGACTTACCCCCCATTATCCTGTGGTGGTGGATTCAGCCGGGGAGGCGCATAGCCCAGTCCTGAGAGTGGCCTGGGAAGGCTGGAACCTCTACAGATTCTCCCTTGCCCTCTGGGCTTTTTCTGGGGGCAGGGTAGATTCTGGAGAGATGGACATGGGGTGATATCCCTTCAGGAAAAGAAGCAGTGACTATTATCCAGGCGAACGGCGTGGACTGGGCACTCCAAGCACTTTCACACGCTATTCCCTCAGCCATGCTCCCCTCTCCTATGAGGAGTACATTCCCACAGGCATTATCCTGTGCTCTAAGGGCACAAACCGCTGAGCAACTGAATTGAACCCAGAGTCCCAATTCCTCAGGACAGTGGACACTGAGAACAGTTGCTCCTGGTGCCCCCAGGTGGCAAACTCCAGATTTGCAATCCCAGCGGTTCCCAGGCCCAGGCCACCCTGACTCTGAGGGGCAGTTCAGAAGAGGCTTTGTCTCCCTCATCAATCACTGCCCAAGGCTAGTAAGAGGCGGATTCAAACCCAGGCAGGCTGGCTCCAGAACCTACACTCCATAGCTACACTAGCCTGCATCAGTTGCGTGGATCTTTGCACCACCCCTGTGTCAAAAGCACAGAACTGACTATCAGTAAATTTCTCTGGGAACAGTTACGGAAAGGGATCAGGAAATAGAAATGCTCCTCTATTACCTTTCCTTTCTTGTCTCATACAAACCTTCGTACTACAAGGTCTGAATCCTCAGCTGCTCTGGTTACAGCACCTCAAAACTGCAAACGTAACTGGAAGACAACTGGCACCTCCTCTTGTGCCAGGCAGTGCCATGGTCTTTACATGGATGCTCTCCTTTAATCCTCACACAGCCCGCAGAGTCAATATTGTGACAACTGTCTCAGCAATGGAAAGGCTGCGGTCAGAAAGATGCAGGGGTCTCTGCTCACATAAGTAACGAGGACTCCTGCCCAGGTCAAACTCTAGTCCATGCTTTCTATTATATTCCTGTCTTCTCCTTTCAACACCAAGTCTGAAAATCCCCAGAAGTAAAAGTTGTGCCCACTAAATTCCAGAATCTTTTTTTTTTTTTTTTTTTTTTTGAGACGGAGTCTCGCTCTGTCGCCCAGGCTGGAGTGCAGTGGCGCGATCTCGGCTCACTGCAAGCTCCGCCTCCCAGGTTCACGCCATTCTCCTGCCTCAGCCTCCCGAGTAGCTGGGACTACAGGCGCCGCCACCACGCCCGGCTAATTTTTTTCTATATTTAGTAGAGACGGGGTTTCACGGTGTTAGCCAGGATGGTCTCGATGATCTCCTGACCTCGTGATCCGCCCACTTCGGCCTCCCAAAGTGCTGGGATTCCAGGCGTGAGCCACCGCGCCCGGCCAAATTTCAGAATCTTATGGCACCTGACAAACTTAAGAAACATGAAGGAAATGAGGTGTCATTCACTGGGAGGAGATCCTGTCATGTGTTCTGTGAGAAGACTTGCAGGGACACATCTCAAGCGCCCCCCAAATGGAGGCAGTCAAATCGCTTTCCCCATTCTGCTTTAGTGAGAAACATCATTAGCTAAGGTGTGGGCCAAGCTCCCATCTTTCACGTACGGCCAATACAGCTGCACAGGAAACGGACTAACGGGTGTACGAGGAGTGTCTAGTACGTGCCAGGCAGTGACCAGCCAGGCAGAGCACGGAGCTTCTCTGGTGGGTTCTGCTGGCGGCCTGCGAAGGATGAGGGGGGAGCGTTAAGGAGGGAGGGTAGGGTCTGAGGCTATACGGATGTGATGAGGGAGGCAGAGACCAGAGAAACGGAATAAACGCCCTCAGGGATCAGAGACAGATTGAGAAACACAAATCCATGGTGAGAGGTCAGCGGAGTCAGACACCCGCATGCAGACAGAGGGAGGCTGGTGGAGACACAGACACAACGAAACACATAATGAGAGAGACCAGCAAAGAGGGGATCAGAAACTCACAAAGGGAAGTCAATGGAGACACACAGACCCACGGGCGCGGGGGAAGGTGCTGGAGGAAGAACCGGTGCAGCGGAGAGGCAGAGAGGGGGCGGGGAGTGGCGGAGGGCGGGAGAGGCAAAGACCCACACCGACAGACAGAAACCGGAACAGGGCGCCAAGGAACCACACGCCCTCACAGAGACCCGCAGACGTGAAGACGTGACGGCCTCGGGCTCCCAGATTCCGCGGGCGGCCGAGAAAGGAGCGGCGCCCGGGAGGACGCGGCCCGGGCCGGCCGCCGCCGCTCACCTGCCGTCCTCCCAGGGCAGCTGCGCCGCTTTCCTCCGCGAGGGGAACATCGTGCGGGGAGGCGGCGGCGCATGGGGCAGGGGCTCGCAGCCCGGCCGGCCCGGCCTCCCGGGCCTACGCGGCGCCTCCGCCTCCCGCTCCGCCCAGACCCGTCCGCCCCGCCCCCCGGTCCGCCGGGTCCGCTGCTCCGGCCGCGCCGCCCGCTCCCGGAGCCGCCGCCTCCAAGGTTCTGCTTGCGAGCAGCGCGGGCGGGCCTCCCTTGCCAGGCCGCTCCTTCCTAGCCGCCCCGGGACCCGCCTGACAGCCCGAGAAACTGACGCCCAGACGCCTAGGGCCTCCCAAGTCAATGGGCTGGGACTGGACCTAAAAGTCTAGACTTCCAAACCAGCGCCCGGGGAGAATCTGCATCTCCGTCCTCTTCCCGAGGGGAGGCGGGAGCGTCCCAGGGTCCCCGTCTCGGCCCAGGCGGCGCGTTCTCCTCCGCACAAGCTTGGAGGGGCAAAGCCAAGCTCATGCCTCGGCGCTGAGTTCAGCTGACAGCCCGAGCAGACGTTAGGAGCCGAGTTCTGAAGGCAAGTTGACTGAATTTGAAACTCGACTCTGCCAATTCAGCTGTGTTTTGAGCAAGCCACATCTCTGCATCTGTTTCCTCACCTGGGTATATCCATGGCTCCTATCCCATATGGTAGCTGTGGGGATTCAAGGGGAAAGTGCAAACACTTGTACAGCGCTAGGCACACAGTTCAACGCCATATAAATGACAGCTGTCATTCAGGAAAAGGGTACTTTGGTGGAGCTGAGAACTGAAGAAGGGAATAGGAGACTGAGTTCCCATATCTGCCCCGTCACCGTGGGAATTTAACCATCCCCCTCATCCCAAACCCCTCCCCACCCCTCCTGCTAGCCTCCTACCTTAGAGAAAGAAAGCGGCAGTTGTTAGACTTGACCTCCTCTGCTCTTCGAGGCAAACTTTAAGTTTCCTAGTAGATAGCAAACATCTGTTAAGTTCTTATTATGTGCCAGTCCTTGTTAATAGTTCTTACTGCATGAAGGTTATCTCAGGTAGTCCTTATCGGTAGGTGCTTATCCCCAAGTTAAAGTTGAAGGAACTGAGCCACAGAGAAGCAAATCAGGTAATTTGGTTGCACAATCTATATGGGTTTTGGGTTTTTATTTTGTTTTTTTCTCCCCACAATCTATGATCTTAATCACTCTGCTTCAGAGAGAACGTCACTCTGGATGGGAAATGTATCATTCCCAGTAACCCCTTTACCTCTTAAACCTGGACGTATATAATCTACCCATTCCCCTTCCTGTTGACTCCCCCAGGGCACTCAGACCCTACAGCAGAACCTTGACCAATCCACAGCCCATCTAAGGGGACCACTCCATCCGGTTCAATGTTACTACATCAGGATGAAGCCCTACTTCAGATTGTCAGATTCACTATCTCAAGAAATCAGATCTCACATAAAACCCAAATTATCTATTTTTTTTTTCTTTTTTTTGAGACGAAGTCTCACACTGTCGCCCGCGCTGGTGTGCAGTGGGGCGATCTTGGCTTGCTGCAGCCTCCAGCTTCTGGGTTCAAGAGATTCTTCTGCCTCAGCCTACCGAGTGGCTGGGAATACAGGCGCACGCCACCATGCCCGGCTGATTTGTGTATTTTTAGTAGAGATGGGGTTTCACTATGAGGCTGGTCTCGAACTCCTGACCTCGTGATCTGCCCACCTCAGCCTCCCAAAGTGCTGAGATTACAGGCATGAGCCATCGCACCCAGCCCCAAATTATCTAATTTTTAAATGTGATATCCAGCTATAAGCCATGTTGATAATGACACTTCAACTCTGGTGTCTTTTGCTTTTGTTTTTTGTCTTTGTTTTGAGACAGAGTCTCACTCTGTCGCTCAGGCTGGAGTGCAGTGGCACGATCTCAGCTCACAGCAACCTCTGCCTCCCGGGGTCAAGCAATTATCCGGCCTCTGCCTCCCTAGTAGCTGGGACTACAGGTGACTGCCACCATGCACGACTAACTTTTGTATTTGTTAGTAGAGACGGGGTTTCACCATGTTGGCCAGGCTGGTCTTGAACTCCTGACCTCAGGTGATCTGCCTGCCTCTGCCTCCCAAAGTGCTGGGATTACAGGCATGAGCCACTGCACCTGGCCTGTGGTCTCTTTTCAGAAAACCACAACCCTAGCCTAATCATGAGAAAAACATCAGACAAACCGTAGCTGAGAAATTGTACAAAATACCTGACCTGTACTCCTCAAAACAGTCAAGGAATCATCAAAAACAAGGAAGGTCTAAGAAACTGTCACAGCCAAAAGGAGCCTAAGGAGACACAGTGACTAAATGTGATGTGGAATCCTGGAACAGAAAAAGGACAGTAGGTAAAAACTAAGGAAGTCTGGATAAAGTAATGCATGATGTTAATAATAGGGAAAATGTCTTCACAATTTTTCTGCAATTTTAAAGCTGTTCTTTAAAAATACTTTTTTTTCTTGACACAGAGTCTCGCTCTGTTGCCCAGGCTGGAGTGCAGTGGCACCATCTTGGCTCACTGCAAGCTCCGTCTCCCGGGTTCAAGCCATTTTCCTGCCTCAGTCTCCCGAGTCCCTGGGACTACAGGCGCCCACCACCATGCCCAGCTAATTTTTCATATTATTTTTAGTAAAGACAGGGTTTCACCATGTTAGCCAGGTTGGTCTCAATCTCCTGACCTCGTGATCCGCCTGCTCAGCCTCCCAAAGTGCTGGGATTACAGGCGTGAGCCACCGCTCCCGGCCTTTTTTTTTTTTTTTTTTTTTTTTTTTTTTGAGACAGAGTCCCACTGTAGCCCAGATTGGAGTGCAGTGGTACAATCTTGGCTCACTGCGACCTCTGTCTCCTGGGTTCAAGCGATTCTCCTGCCTCAGCCTCCCGAGTAGCTGGGATTACAGGCACATGCCACCACACCTAATTTTTTTTATTTTTAGTAGAGATGAGGTTTCACCATGTTGGCCAGGCTGGTCTCATGGTCTCAAGCCATCCACCTACCTCAGCCTCCCAAAATGCTGGGATTACAGGTGTGAACCACTGTGCCCGGCCAAAAACCTTTTTTTCATGTGGAAGAAGAATTAGTTGGCAGCATGAGCCCAGATTGCATCCTCCCAGTAGGGGAAGCAGCCCCCAGACTTGTCTCCTTCTTCCCAGTCTTTCTCACACACTGCTGTAACCTTCCTCACATTTCTTGTCAGAAGGTTCTTCTCAAAACTGCCTGCCCATTTGCCTCCCCCAACCCCCAACAGCAACCTCACATCCCTGATCAGAAACACTGTGATTCAGAGGTGCCAGTAGGGCTCTCAGTGGCTTTACCAGCCCCTGGGTGATTACTGCAAAGGGCCCAGAGGCCAGAGGGAGGGGGCAGGCATTTACCCACCACCTGCTCAGTATTAGCCAGCCAAGCTGCTGCCTTCAGCTTGTGCCTGTGGGTGCCTGCAGCCCCTCTTGAAAGGTGGGCATATCCAAATCGCTTCCCTGGGGCTCAAGGCTTCTCTAACTCTAATCCAACCTTCCTTTCCAGCTTCCTCACAACACCCTCTGCAGCCGAAACAAAACACCCATCCACCTCCATTCCAGCTGTTTACCTCCACTTCTCCAGTCACCTCTGTCCTGCCATCTCTTTCCAGCAGAATCCTTCCTCTCCTTCGTGGTCCTGGTTGAAATCACTTGCTGTTGGTTTAGCCCATCAACATCCTTGTCCCTGCCAGCCCAGGGTGGCTGTCCTGTAGCACTCCCTGCTCAATGCACCTCCTTACCAGGCACTTCCTGGCAGCACCCGTGACAATGCTGCTCGCTGACTCCAGAAACAGAGGGGACCTCACCAGGGAGCTGGCACGGGGGAAAGGGTGTAGATTTGAGCCCCAGCCCAATTTACTTGTTGTATAATCTTGGACAAACCTACTATTCCCTGCCACAGGAAGGCCTGGAGAAGAAGGAAAGAATGAAGCCGACTGGCGGGAATTCACTTTGGAATGTGAAGTGCTTTGCTCTTTGGAAGAACTGACATTCTCTGAAGCTTCTTCCAGTTATGCCCACTGATGGTTGAGTAACTTGCACTGGACGAGTTTTTTCTTTTTTTTTTTTTTTTTTTTTTAATTGGGAAACTCATGTAACAAACCTAAATTTATTGAAAATGAAATCAGTAAAACTCTGCAGGCCCCACCTCAACCAGCACCAAGGCCTCTACTTGGTCTGGTCCCAGTTCTTTAAGCCCCAGAATGGACAACCATGTGAAGAAGCTGAGGTCAAATGCAGGGCCACATGCCCACACTGCAAACCCCTCCACCCACCCTCAACTCACACACACCCTGGGATCAGCAGGTCTAGGCTGAAATAGAGAACAGTGAGGTTCCCAGGGTGGCAGGTAGGTATGACAGGCACCATACCCCAACCCGCTCAAACCCTAAGTTAGCAAAGGAAGACAGAAGACTGGCTTGCCTGCCCATCCCCCTCCCCCCACCCCCGACAGCAGCCTCACATCCCTGATCAGTAACACTGTGATTCGGAGGTGCCAAGAGGAGGGACATTACCAGCCCCTGGGTGATTACTGCAAAGGGCCCAGAGGCCAGAGAGAGAGGGCAGGCATTTGCCCCACCACCTGCTCAGGATTAGCCAGCCAAGCTGCTGCCTTCAGCTTGTGCCTGTGGGTGCCTGCAGCCCCTCTCCCTTCCAGAGCAGGTATGGCTGGAAACCAGTCCTCCTGCCAGAAGTCAGTTCCAGGAGGTCCTTTCTCCCCCAGCCTGGGAGGATGGGTCGTGACACCTGGGACAGCTACACAAGCTTCTTGGCTTCAAAGAAGCTCTTGAGGTGCCGCATCTGCCAGACACCGATGGCCACGAGGATGAGGGTCTGCAGAATGGACCACCACAGCACCCGCTGGTTGGTGCTCTCACTGGTCTGCCGGAAGCGCTCCTCTCGCCACTGTAGGGGAATATAAGGTGAGCCTGAGTTGGCTGGGGCTGCTAGAACTGCTGCATTCCCAGCCCAAGAGCATGCCCAAGGTCAGCCAGCTTTTCCCAGGTTCCAACCAAGTGCCTGCAAAGTGTCACTCTACCTGGGGACTATCTTTACCCTCAGGCAACCTACTGATTCTCCCAAGTCTGTTTCTTCATCTGTCAGGCATAGTCCTCACCTAGTCCTGCCCTGGTGCCTGGGAGAGAGATAAGGTAGTTGTGGTATCACCCCACGAGGCAGAGCTGTCCTGGGGCATGCAGGAGTGGACGTGCTCTATGCCCTCTGCCTAGGTCTCCAGGCTGCTCCTTGAAGATGTTGGGCACAGGCTGTAAACTGGCAGGCTGGGGGCTGGATCTGGCCTTTATGTATGTTTTGTTGGGCTCACACAGTGCACAGTCTTTTGTCAACATTTAAAACCCAGACAATTTGTGCAGCAGCAATAGAAAAAAATAAAAAATAAATTAAAATGTTCACATAAAAATCTTGGCTATTTCCTCTTGAAAAAAATGGGACATCTGTAAACTCAAGGCTGGTATTTCTGCAAGGAGGCCCCCAGGTGACACTGAATAGTGGCTGTGCTTGTTTAGATGGGTCACTGCCCTGCTAGTCCTTCAGGTCACAGATTCATTCATGGTACTCTCTGGTTCCTGGTCACCGGTAAGTTTGAGACCCTGGTCCTGGGAGCATGTGGACCCACTGAAACAGCACCCAAGGTGTTGGTATCAAATCCTACTGTGCCATTCTGTGTGTAACTGTGATTTAGGGAAATGACAGCTTCTTATGAGTCTGTATACCCAATTACAAGGTGGAGTTAGTAATACCCACCCCACAGCCTACAATGCAGTGCAGGTCAGTCCCTTGGGGGTCTCAGAATGAATCTGATGTGAAATTCCTGACTGAGCCAGTGGGCAGCTTCTAGGGAGAAGCCCACTGCTCCTGGCCCAGTCACTCACCCGCTGGTAGTTCTGCTCTTTCTGGATCTGCTCTACTTGTTCCACCAGCTGTCGCACTCGTAGCTGCAACTCACTCAACTTGTCTTTAGCGGCAATTTCTGCATAGTCGTTGGCATGTTCACCTACCTGGATGTCCAGGTGAACTCTCTGAGGACAGACAAAGGAGATAAGGGAAATCTGGCAGCCCTGCTCCATCTTCCTGCCAGAGACTGACAGCTCATCCCCGACTTTCCTTCATCTGTTCGTTTAGCCAACAGACTGGGCCCTCTTCAGTGTCTTAGCCCCATGGGGCTCTGGGCACACAAGCATGTATTAAGCTTGGGCTGGTGCTCTGAGTGAGGCATATACAAAGAGCTCAGTCATTGTGTCCTGGATACCCACTAGAAACCCAGCGTTCTTAGGAGACACAAAATCTGACACGATCCTCTCACACCCACAGCACCACCAGTCCCCCAGTCCTCACCAAAGGATGAAGGCTGAAAGCTGCAAGTCTCATATAGGCCCACTTATCAGCATGCCTCCAACAGAGGGAGAACTTGGGGAACTGGAGTGAAGACAGACCTGGTGCTCTCCAGGGGTATGTGAGGTGAAACTGAATCTGCCCTTGGAGGCATACAAAGGATGAAGGCTGAAAGCTGCAACTCCCATGTGGGCCCACTTACCAGCATGCCTCCAGCAAACAGGGAGAACTTGGTGGAATTGGAGTGAAGACAGATCTGGTGCTCGCCAGGGGTATGGGAGGTGAAAGTGAACCTGCCCTCGGAGCCATACTGCCGGGCCAGGATGACCTGGAGGAAGGGAAAAAGCTTCAGTCAGTGTTATGGTAGGGATGGGAATGGAGGAAAACAGTGCTTAAGACTCTAAGTACCGCAAAAGTTGACAAGCACAGCCTCTGGCACCTCACAACACTAAAAGATCCAAAGCTGCTCAGCAGCTCTTGCCATATACTTGTCTGAGAACTCTCTGGGGCAGGTGTTTAGAGTCTGAGAGACTGACATCAGGGTGGCAAGTGACTGACTGCTCTTGGGAAAGGCTTTCCTTTATAGTTCATGCCCTTTCAACTCTTCTGGTGTGAGTTGCTTTTTGGGTTTTTGTTTTTGTTTTTGAGACAGTCTCACTCTGTTGTCCCAGCTGGACTGCCATGGTGCTATCTCAGTTCACTGCAGCCTCAGCCTCCCGGGTTCAAGCGATTATAGTGCCTCAGCCTCCCAAGTATCTGGGATTACAGGTGTGTGCCACCACACCTGGCTTTTTTTTTTTTTTTTTTTTTTTTTTTTTTTTTTTTTTTGTATTTTTACCAGATACGGGATTTGCCAGACGGGGGTTGCCCAGGCTGGTCTTGAACTCCTAGCCTCAAGTGATCCACCCGCCTCAGCATCCCAAAGTGCTGGGATTACAGGCATGAGCCACCACACCCCCCGTGAGTTTGTTTTCTAATGAAAGTTGACAGAAGGTGACAGCTGAAGGATTTTGCCGTTCGTTTTCATATCCCCTTATTTGTGAAGATTAAAAGCAGCTCATTTTGTGGGGAAAGTATCATGTTCTGTGAAATCTTAAAGTCTAGATGGCTTTAAGAGTTGACAAAACTCTTTGATTTTTATCACCACAATTAATCCGCCCATTTCACAGACCGGGAAAATGGTTCCGGGAAGGTAAGTAACTTGGCAGGGTCATGCAACAGTCAGGATATTCCCACAACATCAACTGTCTCTCCCACTGCAGCAGATGCAGGAACTAGAAGAGGAAGTGCCAGAGCCTGCCTGGCTGAAAGCTTGATGGAAAGGAACGGGGGGGGGGGGATTGGCTCACCTTGTCCTCTGGGTCCTTCACCTCCACAAACATGCCAAGCCCCGGGGTGGCCGGCTGGTACTCCTCCCGCTGCTTGTCATACAGCTGCGTCCGGTAGTTTCCTGGAGGGAAGCAGGGCGAGCCCAGGTCAGAGGAGCGCGAGGTGGCATGGGCTCCCCGACCGCCTGGGCACAGCGAGGCCATCTCCTCTCGGCTCTAGAGAGCTGACTGTCGCGCATCCCCTGCCCCAAGACCACGGTCACGTCCCAAACTCGCCCCTTCCTCCCCGCCCCCGCACCTATGACCATGGTCTCGTCCGGGATCTCCTCAATAAAGCACTTCTTCTCCGTCTCTCCGATGTGAAAGTAGAGCGCGCTTCCGCGCGTCGCCAACCACAGTAGCAGCAGAAGAGTCCGCATCACTCTGCCCAGCCCGGTTCCGGGCCAGGGCCGGACAACCAGCACGCCCAGCTCCACAGCCATCTTGCTCCACCAGCCTGCGCAGCCGCAACCGGCCGCGCCACGTCGCCCTGCCGCCGCCGCGGTGCCTGCCGGGACCGCGAGTTCCGCCGGTGGACCACAAATCCCGAGATGTCCTGCGACCCTGGCGCGGCAGTACCTGATTGGGGCGCGGCTCTTACCTGAGAGAGAGCAGATGCCCTAGAATAAAAACTTATTTCAGTTGACTCTCTTCACGGCCTGGCAACTGACGATGGTTACCAGCTTTTTATAGATGAAACTGAGGTCGTTTGTTTGAGGTCGCGGAGCGAATTGCGAACGGGGACAGGATTCGAACCTAGGATCCCTGACTTTCCTTGGCACAGCATTTACCACTCTTGATTTGCTTCTACCTTTAAAAAATGAATTTAAAGAGAACGACGAAATAATGCACAAATGTATTATCAAACGAGATTAAAAGAAAAAAAAAAGGTCTCCCATTACCACTTATTTGTCCTCATACCCTCTCAAGCATTTCTCCGACCACCAACACACACACACACACACACACACACACAAACACACACACACAAACACACACACACACAGCCTCTGCTGCCGGATCCCGACTGCAATGACTCGTTACTATCAATTCTACAGAAATAGGATCATAAGAGAGTACTATGAGCAAATATAAGCCAACAAACTGGATAAAGTAGATGAAATAGACAAATTTATAGAAATGCAAAACTGACTCAGAGTAGATAACAGAATCCGAATAAACCTATAACTAGTGAGGAGATTGAATCAGTAATAAAAATCATTCTGGCCGGGCGCGGTGGCTCAAGCCTGTAATCCCAGCACTTTGGGAGGCCGAGACGGGTGGATCACGAGGTCAGGAGATCGAGACCATCCTGGCTAACACAGTGAGACCCCGTCTCTGCTAAAAAATACAAAAAAAACTAGCCAGGCGAGGTGGCGGGCGCCTGTAGTCCCCGCTACTCAGGAGGCTGAGGCAGGAGAATGGCGTATACCTGGAAGGCGGAGCTTGCAGTGAGCTGAGATCCGGCCACTGCACTCCAGCCTGGGCAACAGAGCGAGACTCCGCCTCAAAAAAAAAAAAAAAAAAAATCATTCTTACTTAATATAGTTAAGATGTCAATACTACCCAAAGCAATCTACAGATTTAATGCAATCCCTATCAAAATCCCAATGACATTTTTGTAGAAACAGAGAAACTCATTCTCCAATTCATATACTCTCAAGGGATCTTGATTAGCCAAAACAATCCTAAAAAAGAAGAATAAAGCTGAAGAACTCACGTTTCCT